GAGTATCCAGTGATTACTTTCAAGTTGGAATGCCACTGTAAAAATAGAAAGCATCTTCCAGAGAGTTGGGAGGGGGGATTAATATAAAATTAATCAAATCAGCTTCTTTCTGGCTTGAAATGAATTCCCCATGCTTATTCCCTTATTGAGGTTTCCATTTAAGATTATAAAATCAGATTTGTCAGCTGGCAAAAAAGTTCCACAGATATTGTTAAAAAAGCTTTTTATGTTTCAGCTTTGATTATAAAGATAATATTCATCCTTTACCCTTGAAGAGCCATCTCCAATATGAACTTTAAAAACCCCTAGCAATATCATTTGTGCCTTATGGTGTTTAACTTCAAGTTCCTAATCATAGGTTTCCAAATCAGACAAACAGTGCACATGATAAAAAAGCAAGGAATACAGAGAATAAGAAACATTACTGCTAGAAATGTATAATCAAATGGCATCCCAAGAACTTCAGATACCCTTATATTCTTTTATATTGAGTGACTTGCAGCAACTTAGATTTGTGCATGTTTCAAATGTGAAGACTTGGCTGTTTTTAACTGATTTTTAACTAATTACATTTTCCACTCTTTTGCAAATAACTTTTTATTTGAAATCTTCATGCAGTAGCAACTCCTTCCTGAAGTATGAAGGTCAGAATCCAATTGCCAGTTTATGCTTGCATAAAGGAAATCATGCAAGACTTAGCAGCAAAGTGCTGCTCATTTACAGGATACTGGTTGCAGGCCCACTTGTGGCATCAGAAGTGTGCTCAAGAATGCAACTAGCATCTTGTTAACGAGCAAAAATCTGCCACCACTGAAATAAGCCAGGTTCATTTTCAGTTGACCCAGTATTGTTGGCAGTGTTATTAAAGACTACACTTCCTTATATAATAAAAGTAGTTACTGAGTCATTTAATGGAATTCAGTACTGAGTATTTTCACAGGCAATGAAAAAAGTGTTTGGAATTGGCAGAGTTTGTGAAGAAAACTGAGGGCCACTTAAAAATAAAAATAAAACTTCCTCTAATTACTCAGCCGATAAAAATGGTTCCGTTGGGAACCTACAGAGGAGACTGAACCAGTCTCCCTTTGCAGACTACCCCTTATTTGTTAGTTTACCTCAACTGGCACATATTGTTTCAAAACATTCACTCAGAGACTGGTAATGAAAAAGGAAAAAAAGTTTATTTACTCACACTTCTTTTATAAAAAAACAAAATATATTGTGTGGAAATGTTAACTTGTTACAGCATTGAGTTTAACTGGTTAATTAGATTCATTATTAACTTGCTGACTGGATACGTAGCTGACAGAATACTAACTGAACTCTGATTGGAAAAAAGCAGGAAAAAGAACTCTGAAGTAGAGTGGGAAACAATTGGTGGCTGTTGAGTTGCTTGACATTCACTGCAGCTGCCTCCTATATTAAACCTCTTAGAGGTATCATATGAGGGTGTAATATATCCAACAAGTACCTAAACTTGTATCTACACCTGATTAGAACAAGAAAATTAATCTCCTGCCTATCAATTGGTCTTCCATGGTTCAAGGGTTTTTTCTGCTAATTCAGATTGCTAATGATGAAAGAGGCAAATGACAGCCCTGTGTTTCTGATATGGGAGTTTCTTACATCCATTCTCATTTTTTTCAAGGGGCAAAGCAAATTATTACGGCTTTTTCTTGCTGCTTGCCATTCACAGAATTAATTTCAAATGTGTGGGCACCTACTGGCTTGGGTTCTGGCATGCAATGATTCCCACCAATAGATCTTGTACTATTGAAATCCAAGAACATCTCAGGAATCCAAACCCAGGTTGTTAAGTTGGTTAAACTTGGTTTTCAGAGAGCAATCTGCTCACAGTAGACTGTCAGTTTTATAAATAATTAAAAAAGTTGAGATTCTGGTTTTTGAATACTTTCAAACACGTCTGACTGTAAGACAATCACTGGGAATTTTTTCTGCTCTTTTGGTCTTCATTCTTATCCATTTATTGTCTTAAATTTGTGGTACCAGTTGTGGTTTTGTATGATTTTAAAAAAAGATAGTTGAAGATAATTACAGTACTTGGACATAAATATAATTGCATACCATCAGGTCAATCTTGATTTATCGTGACTCCTTCCAGGGTTCTGTAGGTGCAGAGTAGTCAGAAGTGGTTTTCCATTCCCTTCTTCTGGGACTGTGCAACTTACTCAAGGCCACACAGGAAGCCGCAGTGGGAAATCAAACTCCCAGCCTCTGGCTCTGCAGGCAGATACCCAGCTTACTGAGCTGTCCAGCCAGCAACATATTATGGCTGAAATCTTGCTATGCAGTTGTGCAAATAGCATAACTTTCAGAAGCAAACTACTATAAATTAATAAATCTCTGTAGACATTACCTATGGCATCTAAGACTTGCAGCTCAATGTGCAACAGATACCTGTGAAGATTTCTTAACTTACAGCACCTTGTGTATAAAAGTTATGTTTGCATAATTGCACAACAGGATTTCAGCCTATAAATGGATGTTACTGTATTTTTTGCACCATAAGACTCACTTTTTTCCCACAAAACAGGGGGGTGGAAATTCTGTGCATCTTATGGAGCGAAGAAAACAGATCATATTTTCCTGTTTTCTTCTCCTAAAAAATCGGTGCGTCTTATGGAAAGGTGCGTCTTATAGAGCGAAAAATACGGTATATTTGCTGTAAGTATATTGGTTTAGAGTTTACAAGTAACACGTTAGAAATAGTGTGTTACTTGTAGTTAACTCCTTTTTGCAATAATAAAGCTTCAGTTATGTACAATTAATGAGGGATGAACCTACTCCTTTTTGTGCTGTTACAGTAACATGTTCTGTGCCTTTACTTGTTAATGGAGTTTTGGCTTCACTGAAAGATGGAAGAGTTAAAATGACAGATGATTCAAGTGCTGGCTCATGCTGCAGTTTGTATCATGCTCCATTGCTAATTTCAACTGGTGAAGAAAGTGGAAAGGCCAAAGAAAACTGAAGAGGAAGAGAGAAGATTCTGAGACCGAGAGGAACGGAGCTTGGAGGCGATCAGAGGGGACAGTGACAAAGGAGGATATTTGGGAGGAGGGAGCAGTTTGATTAGTAGAGGAGGCCTCGGTGCAGAAAAAGAAATGGAAAACACTGTTTTGAAGTAGAAGGCTGAAAATTAAATGGAAGGAGTAGAAAAATGGCACTACAAACTAGTAAGGGTACTTTATTAAGAGTTGTTTCATCCATGTATCCAGTTCTTCTGTTCAAAATAAAGAGTAATTATGTGTTACTAAATTAGAACCAGCAAAACTAAATGGCAGCTGCAATTTTCTGTATAAGCGTAAAATAACCAAATCTTTAGTGTTTGGTGGAAGACTGAAAATCTTTGGCATTGATCTGCTGACCGTACTTTTAAAGGATACCCTACTTACAGAATGAGCAAGGCAGTAAAAAAGCTACTGCAGGTAAAGACTTCTGCTAAAAAAATGTTTTGAGATGCAGCGACAATCATTATATAGATGAACAATTTTATCACATTTGTTTTTGCTGCTCGTTGTGTGTAGAAGAGGGTGGTGTCTAAAAATGGTCCTTTTCAAGAGTTGAATATGGGTATTCTTTCCATGTATGGTGTGAATACCCTGTTTCCCTGGAAATAAGACCTAACCTGAAAATAAGCCCTAGTATGATTTTACAGGTAATATAAGCCCTATCCTCCAAAATAAGCCCCAGTTAAGGGAAACCCTGCCCTCCACCATTGTGCAGCAACCAGAAGACATGACTATTTGAATAAATGTAAGTTGTTGTACATGAAAAAAAAATAAAAGTCCTGTGAAAATAAGCCCTAATGTGTTTTTTGGAGCAAAAATTAATATAAGACCCTGTCTTATTTTTGGGGAAACAAGGTAGAAGTAATCATGAATAAGTTTTTTTTCCTTGAAATGTTTTCTGCTCCAAAATTTTTACAATTTGGAGTTCACTGCTTAAATGTAGAACAGATTATGACAGATGTTCCGAAAGCTTTGAGAAGCCAATGAGAAAGAGCCCTGGCCTCCTCTAGAACAATCTCAGTGGCAGCAGCTATTGACATCTCTTCAACACTGCTCTGTATGGATGTTGGATCTTGTCTTAAAGAGATGGCATTTGGGCTCATGTATATTACATACCAACCTAGCAGTTCGAAAGCGTGCAAATGCAAGTAGAGTAGATAAATAGGTACCACCTCGGTGTGAAGGTGAAGGCGTTCCGTGTCTAGTCGCACTGGCCACGTGACCATGGAAACTTCGGACAAACGCTGGCTCTATGGCTTGGAAACTGGGATGAGCACCGCGCCCTAGAGTCGGACACGACTGGACTAAAAATGTCAAGAGGAACCTTTACCTTTAAGTATATTGCATACAGCAGCACGCTTGGTAAAATGGCAAATGAAAGGCGACATGAATGGGGCTGATGGGGACTTCACACGTTTTTTAGTTAAGATGTGTCTACGTTTAATAAACCTCTTCCCGGCTGGGGAAAGCAAATATCCTGAAGGGTTAGAAGAAAACGGTGGATTAAGGGGTAGAAGTTGCCTTTGCCACTGTTCAAGCCGACTCGGCAATCCCAGGGGAAGCGGCGTAGCAGAAACCCCACGGATCCCTTAAGGAGGGAGGGTCGTCCTGCCCTTTTCCGCTCTGCGAGCCCCCCGCTTTCAGGGGCCGGCCCTCCCCGGCCGCTGAACCGAGACACGGGAGGAGAGAGAGAGCAATTGCGTGCAGAGAGAGGGGTGTGTGTCGTTTCGAAAGAGCAAGCGAGGCACCGAGGAGGCTTCTGCCGCCCACCACAGGGCGACGCTTCCCAAACTAAGGAAGAGGAGCAAGTTCGTGGAGGGGGGAGCCGAGCGGGAAGAGGGGCGGAAAGGCCCGTAGTAGAACCAGGATGGAGAGAAGCAGGTGCGCAGGTTCAACGGGCCTCCGCCTCCTCCTCCGCT